AAGCAGAAAACAATACCTTAATCAAGGAACTACCAACTCAGACAAACAAGCAAGGAGTAAATAACAGCCTAATCAAGTAATTACCAAGGAAAAAACAACACCTCCACCAACATTGAGAGGGAAAGCTACTGTATAGAAACAGAGAGCAAACCCCACTCCCTTCTAGCACTGAAGATGTTACCTAGCCACGTAATGAAACGTCTGCAAGAAAATAACCAAGCTCAGAGAACCCCAAGAACTCTGTAATGGACAGCTCATACAGCATTTGGGACAAGGCTTGCTTCAGCATGGAGCAGTACAGCAAGCAGCAGCCCAGCCAATATTTCTGTACTCTCACAGGAGCATACCAGAGACATTTAGAAGAGCCCAGGAACAATTTCTGACTTTCATGACTCAGCATGAATTGTTCATGGCAGGTTGACTGGCAGAATTTCTTATAGATCACATCAAAATGACTTTTGCTCTGGTTTGCTAAAAGAAAGGGCTAACAAATTGGCTGTGCTCCTCATTGAAGGAACTGATCCATTACTGAATTACTAATTTCAGGCAAAGTTTCAGAGCTCCATTTGATGATTTGACCAGAAAAACAACAACAAATTAAGAAACTTGCAAGCTGAAACAAGATAATGATAAAGTTTGTGAATCATATCAAGTTTTAATTATTTGCCAGAGATGTGGGGTAGGATTATTTGGATTTGATTGACCAATTTTGAGAAGGACTTGCTTATGAACTGAGAGATGAGTTGTTAAGATATTTAGAAGAGCTATTCCAACACTGTTAATTGACCATCATTTGGAAGAGTTGAGGCATGTAGCCACCATAAGGAAAACATGAACTTAGCCCAGAAAGGCAAGAAGAGATGAGGAAGAATCTCAAAATTGCCCCGCCTTAACACTTTTTGGTATAAAAGAAAGGAAGAGACAAATTATGCCTTTAAATTTTGGGCATAGTTAGTGTGTTTTCTTATCTCAGGCTTCACAGCCGATTTCCATTGAAACTTCCATTCTGCTAAGGCATCACTTTATATAGATGAGCCATATAGAATAAAAATGCTAAATAAATAAATAAATGCAATCATTTTTAGATATGCCAAACTTACCTCCAGTTCCTTAATTTTGTCTTCTGCTATTTTTTGTTTTTCTAAGAGCTGGTTGTGAATTACTTCTTTTGGATGAAGAATAAACCTACAAAAATATGAACAAAAGGGAGAAGAAAACAGAACAATCTAATTTATTAAACATTCACAGATAAGGTCCTACAAATGACTAAGCAAAGTTCAGTGTGGCGCATATTGGCTCCTGCAGCAAAACACATAAAATGACAGAACTGATTTTAATTCATAGTAAAGCTACTGATTTTCACTATATAAGGTTTCTAGCTATTCAGGGCAGAATTAATCGAGTAGTTAAGTATATTACAGCAATAAACTAAAAAAAAAATTGTCCTCATGAGAATATTAACACCCAGACTTGAGAGCCAGTATGTTGTAGTGGTTAAAGGAACCCAGCTAGAAACCAGGAGACTGTGAGTTTTAATTCTGCCTTAGGCATAAAGCCAGCTGGGTGACTTAGGGCTAGTCACCCTCTCTCAGCCCCATGAAGAAAACAATGAAAAACCACTTCCAACAATCTTCCCAAGAACCCTTCATGGACTTGTCCAGACAGCTGCCAGAAGTCAAGACTGACTCAAAGGTACCAAAAAAAAAAAAAATTGAAGAGGTGTTAACAATGCTATAAGAATTTAAAACTTGATTAACATTTCCAGCCAAAAATGTATCTGATTCACTGCTAAAGTAAAAAGATACTCAAAAGCATGTATGTTCAACATGCTTAGTGGGGCCATAATAACGAATAAATGCAGTGTAATTATCTTAAAATTTAATCACCATTATTAAAATTATATTTCTGGATCACTTATTTCTTGCTCCACTAAAAATTTTGAAGACTTAATTCACAACACCTCTAGCAGATTTTGAAATTATATGCATTTGACTATCCATCTTCCAAATGGTCTTTTGGAAAGTTTTAAATTATTTGATTTACTAAAATTCTGTCTTGAAAGGACATGTAAGGCCTTCCACATTGTAGGAAATAACTAAAGATGATATGAATATAAAAACAGTACATGAAAAAAATGTTGTGGGTCAAGGGAAAATAAAGTATTTTCATTTTAGTTCTTTCATTAAACATAAAAAAATATAAGTAGCGAAAAAGAAAAAAAAACAATTAGCACATTTAGTAAAAAATAGTACTGGAAAACAATATAAGAAAAATAGTGATCAATACCTTATAAAAGAAACAGAAAAGGGGGGTTCAGAAAACACAGGAACTCCACCCCAAACCAAGGTGACCCATTTTTCTTTTTAAAATATGAAAAATATCAGATATTTTAAAAGACATCTTCAGCAAATTCCAGATCAATGAACTTTTCTGTTGCTTCCTGATAAAAAAAAGTATTTAGTCCAGAGTCCAGAAACAAGTGAAAAAAAATCACTGGAAAAAAAATGCCTTTCATCGCACAGCCAAATGAGCCATATTAAATATGTTGTGGAGACAGATCTGGAAAAGATCATTATCCTTAATTCACTGTCCGTATCAGCAAGATTCTACCTGCTGAGATGAATGTAATATATTACCTGGTGCTTTTGATCCTACAAATCTAATCAAAATCTAACATATTAATTTATGTTAAAAAAAGAAAAACTATGGACTGATCTTGCTCAGTTTTAACAGGAATGTTTAAAAATCATACTTTATTTCTGTGAAATACTCTGTACACAGATAATTTCATCTTGAATATCTTCATTTACTTTCAATTCTGTTTCAAAATCTGTAGTACATTTATCGGAATTTTTAAAGTGATTTTTTTATGTGTGAATTGGTAACTAAGACTTTTAACTCAGCTATTTTCTGATCCAGAGAGTAAGGTCTTGTGCATCATCTTCAGATGATTCTTCATTTCATTTCAGCTGTTAAAATTCACTTGTTCTAAAAGACTGTAAATGATGAACTTTTAAAATGATAAGTAGCTCCAAATAATTTTGTTTCTTGCATTACTAATTTCTCTTAAGTTCATGAATAAATTCAGCCTTTTACTGTTTCACAGCTTGGAAGGAGGGGAGGTGTGATGATTCCTTCTTTTTTTACCTTCTTGATTTTAGATACTGTATATAATTTATCACCCACAGAGCATTCATATAAATTAAGAAAGATAACAAGGATTTACTATTTGCTAATTAAAGAGTAGGGCAGAGGATGACAAGATAATGCTTTAAGTTGGCAGGGAACCATGGATCATAAATCAGAACATCACAATATCCAGCTGGAAGACTACATATATACACCATACATACAGAACAATCATTCTATTCCCTTTTAGGGAAAACATTAGGTAAAGCACAGAAAAGAAGTAAAAAAAAAGCAAGCCAAAGGAATGATAAGAAAAAGAAATTCAATTTATTATACTTAATTCTTTTATCCTTACAAACCATCTTTGCTTTTACTACAACAGTTCACATACTGGCCTTTGTTCTTTAAACTTCTCACATTTCTCTTTTTGAGGATTTCATCAGCTCCATCCAGCCATGAATTTCTCCATCTTCCCCTTCCTCTCATACAATTCTTTCTTCTTTCATGTATTTATTTAGTTATTTGATTCTCATTCATTCTTCCTGTATGAACAAACCATCTCAGTGTATTTCCTTCACGCTGGTCACTCACATTCATACAGTGGCAACCACGAATGGGGGGGAGCAAGGGGGGACAGACTGATGAAAACTACATTACAAAACAAGCCCTGCCCCTTTTCTGTGTAAGTTGCAAGGTTGCATGCATACCCAAAAGGAGTGGAGCTTGCAGTGCAATGCTGCTTTTGTCAGTCTGTGGAAATCAGTGAGATCCTGTAGACGTCATGCTTTTGTATTCATCACTGATTGAATAATTATGGATTCCATCTCTCCTCATTTTAGCACACACATTTCTTATGTATTCTATTCCAGTTATTTTTATGTCCCTCCTGACATACCCAACTCTGTCATATAATAAAGTGGACAGAAGCAACCCCTTTTATACAGCTGTTTTTACTTATTTCAATGTGCCACATACCACCTCTGGACACATCAATGTTGAGCTACTTTGCAGGGTTTTCATAGCTCATCATGTCAACCACCATCTTGCATTTTGCAAGATGCATTAAGAATGACAGAGACTATCTACAAGCATTTAGATTCTTAAAAAAAAACTATACTAAAAAAAATAACTTTTTAAAACTAAGAAACATTTTAAGCTCCTATCTTTGTTCTTATCTGATTTTATTTTAAAAATAAAGCCGCAATTAATTCACACTAAAATGGATTTTTTAAAAAAAATTGTTTAAAAAGACAGTTTGCAATGTACAAATCAATCAATTTCCTCTCCAGGCAGTCTATGTTAATCATTGCTAGCACTGTTCATCCATTTGCTAAAAAAATGAAAAGCAGGAACAGATCTTTGATGCAAAATGGGAATATAGGAACTTTACATTTTACCCCTACCTTGACTTCTAGAAGCACTAGACGTTAACTTTGAAAAATTAACCAGTAAGGTTTAGAATCTGGCCATTATGGCTCACTTTGGGGGTGAGGATGGATCACCTCCCTTTCCATTGCTTGTTAATATACAATTGTCATAAAGACTCCATGTTAATCTTTGCCACAAAAGTTAGATATAGTTTTGTTGGCATATTCCAGCATTCCAAAATCTGTAAACAGATTCTTGCTGCTGAAATTGTTGTCCATCTTGGTGATATAGATGGTGCTATGAGAGCAAACTGGAGTGAAAGACCGAAGACTTGGGTAATGATTGGTAGAAAAGGTGGATTAGGCAGCTAAGTAAACTGATCAGTATATAGGATGGGCAGAGCTTAATTGCTAAAGAAAACAAATTCTGTTCCCATTGCATGATCTATTCTAGTTTAAGCAGAACCCAAAATAGAGTCTTGAGTTCTTTCCAGAATGGACATGTGTTTTTTAAAAAATGTCAACCTCTGCCTGAACAATTAGTGTAGCTGATGTTTTGGGGCACTATGCCTTGTACATTAATTCCTATACATGGAAAACAATGCAATTCTTTTTTAAGTTTAATATAGTTTTAAATTAAATCAATTACTAGAACATACTTTTTGAAAACATGCCTAGCACTTGTTCGTGACTTATTTTTCAAACCTGTTTTTAGTTGATTGGATAGATATTTGCAATATAGGTCCTACTATAATATCCAATGGTGTTCCATTAATATTATCAATTAATATAAGAAAAGACTATCTTGTTCTTTTCAAGATGCTATTGTAATACATCATTATTACAATGTGAACAATTTACAAAGTAGATCAAACAAGATTTTTTTTCTGTATAAATAGACACTATGAATTTAATGAATGCCTGGCCTGCTTTTAAGGGTAAAGATTCATGGTCATCTTATTGCTTACACTGGAGCTAGATGTTTACGTCTGCTAAATTGGAATTTAATTCCCTTATACATTGGATATAGTTTTTTTTATTGAAACCTAGTAAATTATTGGCTTCTCAACTGAAACAACAACTAACCTTTGGAGCCAGCTATATATTTTTGTCATACCATCCAGCCCACATTTGACTACCTTGTTAATAAGAAAGTTATGAGATAATTTGTCAATGTTGTGTTGAAATCATGTTATTTTATATTTCCAACATTCCCACAATCTCACAGGGATATAAGAAAAATGAGATAAGGTTGGTCTGGCAAGACTTCTTGACAAATCCAGGCTGACTTCTGATAATGACTGCATTATGTTCAAAGTGATTACTGTTTGATCTTTTTGTTATTTGCTCTGGAATCTTGCCAAACATTAGTGTCAGACTAACTGATTTGTAGTTTCCCTGATCATCCTTTTCCAATAGTTTTGAGATAGGGGCAATATTTTTCTTCTACAAGATTATAATTATCTTTCCCTTTTTAATCATTTTTCATAGATTGGAAGGACAGATAAATGGATCACTGGAGGCTTCACATTTCTTGAGCTTTCCTCCCAGATTTTTGACGAATATTAATGATATGAATGCAGCTGACCTTTGCAGTACCACATGGATTAAGAGAAGAGGATAATTGTCAATGAACTTATAAATGCTGACAGTTGTTTTATTATGTTCCTTATCTTCCTGATATGCAGC